GATGCTCATACTGATACTGATACTTATACTGATACTGATACTGATACAGATAGGGATACTGATATTGACACTGATACTGATATTGATGATAATACTTCTATTGATGTTGATAGTCATATTGATATTCATAGTATTATTAATAGTAATACTAATACTATTACTATACTCATACTAATACTGATACTAATATTGTTACTCATACTGATACTGATGCTGATAAAAATACTAATACTAATACTAATATTATACAAATAATACTAATACTAATATTAATATTGATACTGATACTATACTGAAATTCATACTAATATTGATACTCATACTGATTTTGATACTGAAACTGATACCGATACTGATACATATACTGATACTGATACTGATACCGATATTGATACTGGTACTAATATCAATATTAATACTGATACGGATACTTATACTGATATTAATACTAATATTAGTACAAAACTAATACTATTACTAACAGTAATATTAACACTAATATTGATACTAATACTATTACTAATACCAATATAAATGCTAAAACTAATTTTAATGCTAATGATCTAATGCTAATGTTACATATACATATACTGATACTGATACCGGTACCGATACCGATACCGATACCGATTCCAATACTGATACTGATATTGATACTGATACTGATACCGATATTGATATTGATACTAATAATGATACAAATACAGGTACCAATATTGGTATTGATACATATTGTGGTACGAATACTGATACTGATACTTATACTGATACCGATAATAATATTAATACGGATACTTATACTTATGTTAATACTAATATGTGTACTAATACTAATACTGATACTAATACTAATACTAATACTAATACTAATACTAATACTAATACTAATAATAATACTAATACTAATACTAATACTAATACTAATACTAATACTAATACTAATACTAATACTAACACTAATACTAATATCAATACTAATACTATTACTAATACTAATATTAATACTAATACTATTATTAATACTATTACTAATACTAATATGTTGATATTGTTAATGTTAATGCTAATACTGATTTTGATGCTAATGCTAATCTAAATATGCTAATTATTGTGCTAATGTTAATTATGATTGTAATTCTAATATTATCAAAATCCTTATCGTATTCCTAATTCTATTCATAACACTAATAATAGTTCTAACCGCCATCCTAAGCATAATCCTATTCCTAACACCAATCATAAGCCTAAAACTATTAATACTAATAATGCTAATGCTAATGCTAATGCTAATGTTAATTCTAATTCTAATCTTAATTATAATTCTAATCCCAATCCTAATGTTAATCATAATCCTAATACTAATGCATGTCACTAATTATCGTACTAAGCATAATCATAATCTTAATTATAATTCTAATACTAATATGAATCATAATCCTAATAGTATATTAATCCTAATTACAATCTGAATCCTATTTCTAGTATTAGTACTAATACTAATTCAAAGAATCATAATTATAATTATAATTATAATTCTAATACTAATATTAATCACAAATTCTGATTTTGCAACAAATTTTTTTTTTGCAATGATCTATTATTTAATAATAAAAAAAAACAATTATATTCAATCTCGAACCGTTATATCAAATTTCTTATGTGTGGTAGCTGAAGCATAAAAAAACACATATTAAATATATTAGAAATTAATATTTAATTATATTATCAAACTGACATTAAGATTAATTAAAATATTATAAGGGTATAAGCAAACGTTAAGACGTAAAAGAACAATAATCATTGTTAATAAGATAAATTATGAAAATCCTCCTGAACTTAGGCTAAATTACAGAAAACACCCCCACTTATCGGTGATAATACCAAAATCCCC